TACCACGCGTTGAGTTACCACTTGAATTACTACGCGCTGCACTACCACGCGTTGAGTTACCACGCATTGAATTACTACGCGCTGCACTACCACGCGTTGAGTTACCACGCATTGAATTACTACGCGCTGCACTACCACGCGTTGAGTTACCACGCATTGAATTACTACGCGCTGCACTACCACGCGTTGAGTTACCACGCGTTGAGTTACCACGCATTGAGTTACCACGCATTGAAGTACTACGCACTGCACTACCACGCGTTGAGTTACCACGCATTGTACTACTACGCGCTGCATTACCACGCACTGAATTACCACGCATTGTACTACTACGCGCTGCACTACCACGCACTGAATTACCACGCGTTGAGTTACTACGCGCTGCACTACCACACACTGAATTACCACGCGTTGAGTTACCACGCATTGAACTACTACGCGCTGCACTACCACGCGTTGAGTTACCACGCATCGAATTACTATGGATCGAATTACCACGCATCGAATTACCACGCATTGAATTACCCACGTATCGAAATACCACGGGTGGAATTACTACGGATTGAATTACCCACGCATCGAATTACCACCGATCGAATTACTACGAATTATACTACCACGCGCAGAATTACTACGGATCGAATTACCAGGCGTAGTACCACTACGCGTTGGACTTCCACGCTCTGAACAACCACGCGTCGAATTACCACGCATAGTACTACCACTCGCTGGATTACGACGCGTTGAACATCCATGCGTTGAATTACTACGCGTTGAATACTCACGCATTATGTTACCACATGTTCCATTACGCTGCGTTGAATTACTATACGCTGTATTACCACGCATTACACTTCCATGCTTCTATCCCACGTTACATCACCACTATATTCCATTAGCAAAATGTGTATGTTTTCTTCATTGTTTCAATTAATCAATTAATCGATCCAATTGTTCTAATTTGGAATAGCAAGTGTGCTTAGGAAAGCTTCGACATGAAGTAGCGTGGAAATTCGAGAGGATAATGTCAAGTAGAACTCTGGGCAAAAACTCATTCTCGAATTCAATAAGCTATAACGCGAAGCGATAACGCGCGCGTAAACCGATTTCCCGGCAGGAACGATACACGGGGCGATCTGTCCGCGCGAAACTACGTACAATTACCGTTTTAATCTGCAGTTTCTAGCGCTATAAATTGCCGGGAGTTTACATCGACACCGACAAAAGGGAACGGGAGAGGAGTCGGCGCATGGAAGTTCGAGCGATCAAATTTATCGCTGGAGGCAATTCCGCGCGCAAATGGAAGAACGTCGTATGAGCTTTTATTCCGTCGCGTTATCGACAGCTTCGATCGACCTTTCTTCTCTCTCTGGCTACTAGGTTTTCGCGGGTTTATATCGAGCCAAGTCACCGCTTGCGCCGAACGGTACAATTAATTGCCGCGGAGACGAGAAAATCCCCGAGGTTTGCTTCGCTGCGAGAAATATGAAGGAGTGATTTTTTAACGGCGACCGTTATTCCGCGGAACGATGTTTGCCGATGGTAATCTGTAGAATAGAACGGGAGAGAAGTGATATAGGGTCCCCAGGAAAATGAAGATTCGACGCGATTCTTTTCCGCGCGATTTTCAAGCGATCCGTTGTCCCGATACGAATTCGAGTCAAACGGAGCTGCTACGGTGATACCACGCTGTAATCTGAAGGGAAAGATTTAGAGATTTCGATGTTCAGTGAAATAGAACCGATTATTATGGAGATTGTCACTGCTGAGTTATTCGTTAATCAACTGATAAATAGTTTCATGTCCTCCGAAAGTAATTTGAGTTAGCAAAATGAACAATGGGAAAGAGGTGATGAAAAGTGCATATAAATTATTTATTTCATACTTTGTCATGAGTCACGTTCACTAAAATGTGAAGATATTGTGCAACTCAGAAGATTGAACAAATATATCCATTGCGATCCATATTTCCATATCTTGCAAGAAGTAATATTCAAAACAAGTTTATTACAGTTACGAATGAGAGTAAACAGCACAAGAATAGGGGATCGCAGTAATTATATCTCGTCGCGTCGAATTTACTATGCAATAAACTATAATTAGGATTAATGCAAGTGTAACGAGAACGATTCTACTGTTCCAAACGTAACAACAATCGTCCCAATTAATGTATAATCCGAGGGGAATCAGATTGAACCGGTCGAGTATAAATAAAACGATCCGCTAATAGACGTGCAGTCAGAGTAAAATGTAATCAAAGCACCAGCAGAGTTGATTCCAATCGAAGCGCGTTGAAAATAATCTATTCGTGACGTGTATCGATATAATTGGATTAAACGCGCTATAATTTCTGCGTTTTCGATGCTAATTAAGACACAATTATATTATATAGATTTATAGTTATTAATTTTATAGTATTATTGTAATGTTTTAAAATATATAATGGAGTAGTTAGGAGTAGCAGACTGTAGAAGTATAATTTGCGGGAATATAAGGGCAGAAGTCCAATGGTTGGAAATGCTTGCAAATACTATTGGTAGAAATAATAGAGTGCTGCGTGGAAATATGGCGCATGGAGATACGGTGCGTGGAGGTACGGTGCGTTGGAAATACGACGCGTGGAAATACGGCGCGTGAGGGTACGGTGCGTTGGAAATACGACGCGTGGAAATATGACGCGTGGAAATACGGCGCGTGGGAATACGGCGCGTGGAGATACGGTGCGTGAGGGTACGGTGCGTGGAAATACGACGCGTGGAAATATGACGCGTGGAGGTACGATGCGTGGTAATACGGCGCGTGAAGATACGGTGCGTGAAGGCACGGTGCGTGGAAATACGGCGCGTGGAAATATGGCGCGTGGAAGTATGACGCGTGGAAATACGGTGCGTGGAGGTACAATGCGTGGAAATACGACGCGTAGAAATACGACGAGTGGAAATACGGCGCGTGGAAATATGGCGCGTGGAGGTACGATGCGAGGGAATACGGCGCGTGGAGATACGGTGCGTGAGGGTACAGTGCGTGGAAATACGGCGCGTGGAAATATGACGCGTGGAGGTACGATGCGTGGTAATACGGCGCGTGGAGATACGGTGCGTGAAGGTACGGTGCGTGGAAATACGGCGCGTGGAAGTATGACGCGTGGAAATACAGCGCGTGGAGGTACGATGCGTGGAAATACGGCGCGTAGAAATACGCCGCATGGAAGCACTAGATCAACCTCCTCCAAACCAAAAAACCTAAAACACCAGTACTTCATCAACCCTAAAAAACATCGAATCTCCCTAAAAAGAATCCATAGATGTCATGTAACTCGTCAGAACAGCAACGCGATTACAAAAGACACGGATGTAAACCGAACAGAATCGATTTCAGCAAAGATATCGATCCTCTTGCCAAGCGGATGAAGTGGCAGCAGTAGACGGCGGAAGTTCGCGCGATGAAATTTACGGCTGCAGCCAATTCCACGCAAATGGAAGAGCATCATCTATGAGGTTTTATTCGGCCTGCTTATCGGCATCCCCTATCGGCAGGCATTTGTTTTTGCTTATCGTCGGACTACGTCAACGGGCCACCGTAAATATGACGGACGGATGCGACGATGGGATCTCAGCGGCGTCGGAACAAACGAGCGCCACACGGACGTAGCTTGAAAATCTCGACGGCTCGATTTAGGGGGATGAACGACCGAGAGTCGAACTTCCGTGCCCGACAGGGGCGAGTTGTTCGACTACGAATCGATATACCTGCCTGCGCGAACCAACCAAATCCACGAGCTACTTCTTTTTCTCCTTCCTTTTACGATCATTCTTTCTTGCGATAAACTTTATTATAAAAATTTAAACAATTGTTAATGAAGTTACATTTTCATGTATGACTTTTGAATCACTTTGTATAATGAGCTTCATCGAAAAGGTGAATTGTCATTCATTAGAATCAAATGAATTATCATTCATTCAAAGACGAATTGTCATATGATTTACATATAAAGCAGTACCTTTCGGAATATATAGGGTGTCTCATTTTTACCTGTTCACATTATTGCTTTCTACCAAAGTTTTTCCAAAAAAGGTTTCCAGGGAAAATTAATTACTAGTAGACATATGGAAAAAATGAACATACACTCGATTAGAGGTATTAATAGCCGGAAGTTTCTCGTCGTTTTAATTGAAATTGTGAAAGTCACGAGGCTCGTTCCGCGAAATGTAAGGTTCGCGAGTCCAGGAAGCACGGAGGCTGGATCAATAACGAGACGATGATCGAAGCCAAGCGAGCCTGCATTTTTTGGGTCTTAATCACCGGCCCTAATTGGTCAATTACGCTCATTACCGTCTCCTCCGTGGAGAGGCGAGTCGAGCGATAAAATCTCTCCTCTCTCTTCGTCCCGGTTCGCAGAGGCTGTGTCTCCCCACCAGAGTGCAGCGACGGGTAATCCATGCCCCTCAGGAACGAGCGGATAGCGTTCGCGAGAGAGAAACTTATCCCCTTGGAGGAAAAATCGACGGGTCTACAGCCTGGGTTCAGCTGGTTCCGCGGAGAGAAACCCCTAGCAAAGAGGCGGGGCCAATCGAGCCATGCCCCTTCTGTCGCTTCGCAGGCCTCGCCCACTTTTGAATTTCCCCTTTCTCACACTTTCGTCCCCTCTACGGGCGACGTTCTGCTCGTTCGTCGTCTCTTTCCAAGCAACGCCACCACCGATGCCCCCACTAGCTACGGCGCCTCCACCCGCAAAACGAAAAAGTCCGAGCGCCGCAGCCGGCGATGGTCAAAGTCAGTCCACACGGAGAGCTCGAGTCGAGTAGAGGCTAGTCCAGGTCAGTTGGCCGGAGATTCATCGATCCGTCGATCCCGGCACCTGTCAAACTCGCGACAACTCGTGCGACTTTCGGTGTGACTTCTTCCAGTTCGTGACGTTTATCTGTTCTTTTTCCTGACCGGTGCCACACAGTGCTACCGGGCCACCAGAAGGAGTTACGACCCTTTCCAGTGCGAAGATCCAGACAGTTTTTGGGGACCGCGAGATGCAAACAGACTGAGAGACAAGAGTGATACAGTGAAGGGTATAAGGGTCTATCGAGGGTGTTCAATCGCGGTCTAAGAATGACAGTACTAAGGATGACCTCCCCGGTGACGCCTCCATCGACCAGTCCAGGTTCCAACGAGGCGCAGGCACCCCAGGCGACGTCGAAGCCGGTGCATCGATTGAGCTTCTCCGTCGCTGCGCTGTTGGCCGACACCAAGAAGTCCGACTCCAGACAGGAGACGTCCTCGGTGTCACCCAGGTCGTCACCCATCGCCTACTCGCCCGTCAGGCAGGAACACCTGTCGATCGCGCCGAGTTCCACGTTGCAGAAGTACCCGAGCGACTACAGGACAAGGTACCTCTCCGTGTCACCCGGGATCCAGGAGCACAGGTCGAGTCAGTACGTGTTCTGCGACGCGTCCAGGAGCGTGATCGACGCGAGGACGTCCGGCAGGTTCTCGGAGGAGTTGGACAGGGATTCACCTCGTCATCGAGCAAGGAGCATCGATTACGCGGTCCAGACGTCCACCGATTCGGGATCCACGTCGGATGCGGTGGCTTGCTCTTCCTCGCCTAAAGTCTCCACGGTCAGCCAACCGGAGTTTGGTCCACAGTCGCCCAGAAGCAGCTCGCACGAAGCCAGGTCCAGGTGCTCCGAGACCGAGGACATCGAGGAAGACGACGAAAACAGCTTGGTAGACGTCGAGGACCTGCAGCATCAGCATCAGAGCACCAGTCCTACGCCAGTTAGGCCAACCCCGGCTTACATCGGAGGGTTTTCCAGCCTGGGGAGCATCTCCGGCATCCCGGCTGGGTTGCATCCCGCGGTTTGGGGTGGCGGTCATCAGGGTGCTGCCGCAGCAGCGGCCGCTG